GCCTTGTACTTAGCATTCCTGCAACCCTGGCAGAGTACCTGAGGCAGATGCATGCCCTCAAAGGCCATGCAGTGTTCTTCAGAAGATGTGGTCTCTGCAAATAACTCCAGCAGAGTGTAGCGGCTGTCAAAATCCATGTGTTGCTCGATGCCATCTTGCTGGCTCAGTGACAGAAGGACGTGAGCCCGACTCCCTGAAAGCCATACCCAATCCATATCTTCTCCTCAATCCCCAATTCTCCCTGCCTTTCCTAGGCTTTCTCCTTCCCTACAGTCTTTGAAACAGCTTTGTGACTGAGATCCACAGCAAGAAATACATTTTACATATAATCTGGCACAAATATACATACAAATAACTGAACTATATGTCACACTACAAAACTTACAACTTAAGGCTTTAAAAAATGTTGGTTGGGGCTGGGAAGGTGGCTCAGTGGTAGAGCACTTGCCTTGCATGCCTGAGGCCCTGGGTTCGATTCCTCAGCACCACATAAGCAAAAAGAAAAAAGCCAGAAGTGGCGCTGTGGCTCAAATAGTAGAGCACTAGCCTTGAGCTGAAGAGTTGAGGGACAGCGCCCAGGCCCAGAGTTCAGGCCCCACAACCGGACCCCCCCCAAAAAAAAGTTGGTTATGCCAGGCACTGATGGCTCACACCTGTCATGTTAGCTACTCAGGAGGCTGTCCAGGCAGAAAAGTCCATGATACACCTCCAATTAATCAGCAAAATGCCAGAAGTGGAAATGTAGTGCTAGACTTAAATAAAAAGGTCAAGTGAGACCACAAGACCCTGAGTTTAAGCCCCATACTTGGCACACACACATACACACAAACGTGTTTTATTACAGCTGGGTGCTAATGGCTCGTGCTGGTAATCCTAGCTACTCAGTAAGCTGAGATCTGAGAATCTCGGTTCAAAGCCAGCTGGGGCAGAAAAGTCTGAGATTCTTTTTTTTTTTTTTTCCCCAGGGCTGAGGACCAAACCCAGGGCCTTGCGCGCCCTTCCACTGGGCTAAACTCGCAGCCCCAAGTCTGAGATTCTTTTTTTTTTTTTGTTGGTCGTGGGGCTTGAACTCTGGGCCTGGGCGCTGTCCCTCAGCTCTTCAGCTCAAGGCAAGCACTCTACCACTAGAGCTACAGCACCACTTCCGGTTTTCTGGTGGTTTATTGGAGATAGGAGTCTCACGGTCTCTCCTGCCCGGGCTGGCTTTGAACCTCGATCCTCAGATCTCAGCCTCCTGAGTAGCTAGGATTACAGGCGTGAGCCACCAGCCCCCGGCAAGTCTGAGATTCTTATCTCCAATTAATCACAAAAAGCAGGAAGTGGATCTGTGGCTCAAGAGGTAGAATGCAAGCCTTGAGCACAAAAACTCAGGGATAATACAGGCATAGAATTCAAGCTACAGGGCTGGCACAAAAAAGTTCATTACATTTAATCAAACTGATTTCACAATCAACTAGTAAGTCTCAATCCACAGTTTAGAAAATACAATCTACCCCACACTCTTTTATCTCTGAGAATGGCCAAATAAACCAAGTGCTATCACTTATGCTGGTTATGCAGTTAATTAATTACCTATTAATGTTTTCTTTGCACTAAATTGCTATTTTAAAAATACTAGTTGGGGGCTGGGAATGTGGCTTAGTAGTAGAGTGCTTGCCTAGCATGCATGAAGCCCTGGGTTCAATTCATCAATAAACAGAAAAAGCCGGAAGTGGCATTGAAGCTCAAGTGGTAGAGCACTAGCCTTGAGCAAAAGAAGCTCAGGGACAGTGCCCAGACCCTGAGTTCAAGCCCCAGGACTGGCAAAAAAAAAAAAAAAATACTAGTTGGAAATCTCTCCTCTCTTCTGTTTTTAACTCCTTGTGGCCCCATTCTCTCCAATGATTTCCTTCTTTCTCTTTCTCTTACCAGCATCATGGGCTGCCAGAGCCTGCAACATCTTGCCTGCACTCCGACGGATCTGAGGCTCAGGATTACACAGCATGTGCATGAGAAGGTCCAGGGCTCCCGTCTCCCTGAAAACCCCCGTGAGGGGCCCAATGCTGGCATAGGCACTGAGTACATGAATGGTATGGAGCACAGCAGCTGTAAGGCTGGAGGTCCCACCTTCTGCCAGCTGCCTGGCAGCCCTGCGTACCAGTGCCCGCACATCAGTCTCCATCTCTTCCATTGCCACTTCATCCAGGCTTCCTGGGTCTCTGGGAAAGCTTCCTGAAGCCCCAGCTGGTTCATACTGAGGTCCCTTGGATAGTGTCCGTTCACCCAACAGCATAGGGCAGTTGGCATAGACCTCTGGGGCTGACAGCCACATAAGGAGGTGCTCTGCCCTGCCTTCCTCCACACTTGCTCTGCCCACTTCCCCACACTTCAAGACACTCCATCGAATCAGGTATTCAGGATGCCCATCATGTCCAGGCCTCTGCCGAATGAGTTCTTCAGGATATGCCTGCAGCTGGGGCCCCAAGGGCACCATAAGGTCTCCAGTACGTCGTTCCACTACCATTCTCACCTCCTGGAGTACACAGGAGAAAATAAAGCTGTATGGGGGGGTGGGGAGGAAGATTCCACCAAGTGTGACAGAACCTTGGAACATAGGTCCAGTGGGTAGTGATTGGTAGGCTATACAGTTTACAAGCCAAATTGAAAAGGCAAATAATATGATGGAATATACAGCTGAACACACTTTGGGATTTATAAGAGATGGAGTGAAAACACTGGCCAGGTGAAATAAAGAGTTTTAAGAAATGGAAGAAGTGGGTGAGGCATGTAACTCAGGAGGAGCACTTACCTAGCATTTATAAAGTCCTGGGTTAGGTCCTTAGCACCATACACATACACACTCACAAAGAAGTGGCAACAGTTACAAAGAATGAGAAGAGTAATCTGAAGATTCCAGTACAGAAAATAATAGTTTGACAGGACTATCTGGGTAGACTAGTAGGATGGGTATGAGTGTAGGGGATACAGATCAAGATTTAGAAGGATGACATGGTTCTACAGGAAGGACTGGAGATAGTGGGGCCAGAATGTGAAAAAGGAGGCTGGAGAAAGGGCAGGACAAGGAGTACAAAAGACAGGACAGAGTCTCTAAAGAGGTGGGCCATGAAGATAAAGAGAAAAGAAATGAAGGGAGGTGGGGTGTGAGGGCAGATAGCTGGACTGGAAAAGTATGTCTTGTGAAAAAGGGAGCAGCCTAAGGAACAGATAGCATTGTAGGAGAAAAAGACCAAGTCACTCTGCACTTAGGCTAGGTGTGTGGTAAAGGTCTAGATCAAATAGATATAGATGGACATGGTACTCATGGGGTTGAGGGTAGGGAATGAGGTAAGGAGAGAAGCAATTTAGTAGATTTCAAGGTCAGATAAATGTGACTCTGAAATCCCTTTTCACTTACTATCTACTTTGAGTTCCCTGGCAAAATGATGACATGCACAACCCACCCCATTTAGACGTTGCAAAAACTTACTGTCATGTAATATACTGCACTTCTGACAGGATTTAGCACATCACCAAATGTAATCTAATATTGCTCTCCACTGGAGAAGGTAGGGATAGTCTTCAGACAACCCAAAAGTTAAGCTGGTAAATAGAATGATCAGGAAGAGGTATGTGGGCATACAGCCATGTAATCATGCGAGTGAGAATAGAAGGTTAAGCAAGATGTGGGTAAGATGGGGGCGGGGCGATATCAGGACCAGGGGCATGTCAAGGTACAGGGAAGGAAGACAAGTGGAAGAAAGAGTGAAAACTCATAAAATGTGGACCTCCACGGGGCAGGAGGCCGCAGCGTGGGAAGGCCGGGAGGTAACCAGGGAGTCAGTGGTGATGCGCAGCAGATCAGGCCGGGGCGGGGGTGAGGAGGGGCCTGGGGTCAGGGGCAGTCGGGCAGCGATAAACTAGGGGATGGAGGTGAGGTCTGGACGCTCTGAATGAGTTCCCCACGCACGCACGCACGCACGCACGCACGCAGGTAGCAAAGTCAAGCCCACGCACGGGACCGGCGGGGCGGGGCGGGGCGGGGCGGGGCGGGGCGGGGCGGGGGAGG